TTTATATTGTAGATGGATAAAATTATTATTAATGTAAAGATTTGCTTTTGTTATTGTTTTGGTCCTTTTTGGTCCTCTGTTACTAACGTTTGAGCTATGGAGAATATTGTACCGCACCATGTATTTATTTTCCGAAATAAAGACGAAAATAAAATGAAAATGTGTGCATGTGTCGCATGGCAACAAGCGGGACCTGTGGAACTGTCTTGACTGCACCCAGTAGGCAAGATTTGGGATGGTTTGGGGTGTCGTGGAGTTGTGGGCATAAACATGTCTATTGTCTATTATATAGACCTATATCTGCCGTATATGCAGGACCGATGTTCACGTCATTCAGTGTTAACTGATAATATCATAATAGATGATGACAGCTTATAATTCGATTTGGCTCGATCGATGGTAAAATTCCCAAGGATCAGTTATGCCTATAGGTTCTATATACCTACAGACGACTAATCCATAATGTAGTCACGTAGAATCGTCTGCGCATACGGGGACGTTGGGTTGTTGTCTGATTCTAGGACGCGGTTTGGCACTAATGTAGGTTGCGCAGAGAACGCAGGACGGCCACGCATGAGTAAATCCTCGTAGGGTCACGTCGTAGCGCAATCAAAAGCCCTACTGCATTATCGATGCATTATAATCGTCCATTTTAAAACAATGTTATGACCTTATTTTGTTTAAGTACATGATGAGAATCGCTTACCGGTTGGATGATATCGCGTCAAACGTAATTTAGCCGACTCGTTCACAAAAGGTTTTAACCTAGATTTGAAATACAATATCAACACCAATCATAATATTATGATGGTGACGCTGCCACTGATGAAATTCTGACCATGCTGTTGTTAAAAAATAAATATGTTGAGCGAAGGAACTACGCTGGATTTATGAACAATATTAAAATGACGTTGAAAAAACTGTACTGAAAAGTATATAGGGGCCTATGATATAATATCATGTACTGTAATACAGAAATGTCTCTAAATTTAGAGCACATTGAGACTTTGTTTACACGCTCTATAGCAAGTTTATATACATTACATTTCTGTATACTAAATCAAACCTGAATTATGTACTGGGAGAATTACCAATTACTACATACATCTCATCAATGAACAAAAATAGATCGTAGATTAGCGGAAGGTATAAATTGTAAGCCGGTGATGAGCGATGACTGGCGACTGATTAGGCTAATATAGGTTTTAGCCTAATAAGAGGGGCTACCTTAATACAGGAAGCCTTAGCCGGTAAATAATACGCCCTTAAACCGCATGTCCTTAATTATTGATTTTATGATAATTAGGAAGAAGGGGCTCTCTGGAGACGTGATGGAAGTTAGTTAATAATATTAAGGATGTTAGCTAGTAGGAACTTCATAGTTTGATAATCCCTGTCTGCTGATCGTTTTCCCCTTTAAATTTCTCTCACATACAACGCTCTCAAATCCAGTGGCAGATCCAGGAATTCGAAAGAGGGGCCCAGGGAGAGCCTTTCACAGATTGAGGGTTTACCACCAAAGGTAAATTTACGATTGTGGCACCTCATGGCTGGAAATGTCACTCTCAAAATTAAATTGTAATTGTAATAGGCCTATCATTTTCTTCTTTTTTTTCTCCATTTTTTTAATATATAATTTTGGAAAAAGTAGGAGGGCCCAGGTCGGTTTCCTCCCTGTCTCTTATACACATCTACCACTGACATTTTTTAATGGACGATACTCCTACGGTTATTTTTTAGTCAGAAGAAAAATTCTAACAGGATTTAAACCCTGGACCCTGGGGATAAAAAAGGCAATTACTTGTCATCTTAATGTCACAGTGTCGCTGTGACATATGGCTAGTCTATGTGTTATGCGTATAGTCCTTTAAAAGCCTCAGATAGTAACAGAGCAAATGAGTTAAATTGACCATAATACATAAACCGGTATTGATAAGAAGATTGACATCACCAACCGGCAGGTGACATAAAACTTAAGCGACAAATATCAAAGTCAATGACAACATTATCCGCCCCCTCCAAACAATGTCTCCTAAATTATTGTTGCTTAGTTTATTAATTAGGTATTAAGTTCGTCCCTTGAGAGAATGCTTACTTTTATTGTGTTTAACCTCAGATCGGCAACTGTAATGTTAAGTTGAACATTTAAGGAGTGGGTGGACTCAATCCGAGGGGTCTGTAACAGACGTATGGCAGTTCATATAGTCAATTAATTACATATAGCCACAAAATAGTAAAAATTCCGTGAATCAGTAATAATGAACAGTTCGATGTCTCTTAAAAAGCTAATAACATGGCCTATGTTTATCATTTTAAAATGACCAATGCAATTTGTAAATGTTGTGGATGCACCATCATACCAATTTCGGCTAATGTTAAGTTGACTGCTCTATACGATTCAGTATTCAAACAGATGAATAAGCATACCTGCATGGTATTTCCAATAAATATATGTAACTCGAGAGAATAGGCCTATTATTATTTAAAATAAATAATTCAATTTATATATTCGACAACGACTTAATATACGACAGTACAGGAATATCTAATGAACAGCAGTCGATTGATGTCGATTGTAATTGTGGCCATTGTGATAATGTGTGTGGGCATAAACGCCGGATGTCGTCTGAGAGGTTCCAGGCGAACGTCTTTGTATCACCAGATAAAAACCTTCCATCGATCTCTGCTAAAACAGAGAAGACCATTAGGGAGGTTTCGATTGCGCTACGATGTGACCCTGCGTTTCTGCGCAACGTAGATTCGGGCCACACTGCGTCTATCTCAGAAAAAACAACGAAAACTCATTGTTCTCGCATGCGCAGTGGATTCTACATGACGTCATTAGGTTCTACCTCTTATACTGTCGTCGTGTAACCAAATAACTCTTTAGTGTCAACCGTACATCACCAGTATTAATTTAGTAAATAGTAGTTCTAAGTAATAATGCATTGTTTGTTGGCGAATCAGTAAGAAGTAGGGCTGATTTTATTGATTTATCAACCCTGTAGATTGAGCATGTTCTAATAGAATTGTTTAGTAGACTAATTACCAGGGTTATTATTGGCGTCCACTTTACGCAGCATAGTTCACAATACTTGGTTAATTATAATACTAAATAATAATAATTATTATTATTATTATTAATGTTATTATTATTTATTATTATTATAAATAATATAATATTAATAATTCTTTTAATTGTTATTATTAACTATATAATTGTTAATATTATTTATTATTATATCATAGTATTTATTCTCTATAATTTAGCAAAAGTATGGGACATAAATCCAGGTCATTTAGTATTGTAATTTAATCAAAAAATTCAAATGTTTTTACTTCTATATCACGGTACTGTATTATGATTAGTCTTCAGGCCTTGTAAAAATCATAATACATCACTATATAGGC